GATATCCGTTTTACATAATGAGCACTGATTGTTTGCATTGTATATTTGACATTAAAATCCAAATCTACACATTTGTCATTCACAATCGAGTTTTGGAATTGCACTTTAAACACTTATTTTCATTTGGTATTAATGTGATAATCATACAATTATTATATATTGGTGTTCCGAAGACAGTGTTTTCACTTTCTAAAACAAAAGTAAACGTTTTTGGTTTTTCGTTATCATATATTGTAAATATAATTTCATCAACTTGTTTTACTTCTTTTGTGATGTACACAAGTTTGTCACCAGACAGTTCAATTGTGTTTATAATACCCGAGCAATTGATTATGATATTATCAATTTCTCTATTTACTGTTATGTAACTTGAAATATTATTTGTGCAAAGTAATTGGTGGTTTGTCGAGTTGTACTGAAAGGTACTTTGTGTGTTAGTAAATTGGTAAACAACGACATCTCCAACAGAAAATGAAAGTTTTGACAATGTAAAATCGCCATATAAATTGAGTACAACATCGTCACTCATCATCACTGTTTTTATAATTTTTGCATTTGTTATTTTTGTATTTTTGTCGATGTGTAAAGTTGTAAATGAAAGTTGTTTACTGTCAAAATTAAATTCGGATAACTTTTCAGATAAATATAAGTGACAACCAGTTGACGAGTCATCACATGGACAATGGGGATAATCAAATCCATATGAATAACCTTTTGTATAACTGTTTGTATACAAAAAGTGTGTTAATTTACATTTTACAATATTATTAAAAGCCACAGTAGGACAAAATCTAATAAGCTTTTGATTGGATAATAAATGTGCAGTTCCATCATTAAAATTATATGGAAAATCGTTTGATGAAATACGATTTGAAATTGAATCAATATTAATAGAATTGTTATTCGACATTGAAATGACATCAAAGCAATTAATGTTGTTGATTGGATTTTTTATTACAAAGTCTAGTCTACCAGGATAATTGCGGTGTAAATGAAGATACGTTGAATCCCACAAGTCAAGAGGTGGGGCGTCTAATTTTGGATATAAAATTGAGAGTGTTCCAGCAATAGAAAAATGGTTGTTAATGATTGCAGACGAGTTGTTGCAATAGATATGGAATTGTCAATATGAACGGGTAACATAATAGATATAAGACCATTTTCTGAAATAACCAAATTATTTATTGTTGTAAATATAGAGTTATTACTGGTATATGTAGAAAAAGTCCCAATCATTATAATCTCTTTATAAACGTTTGTCCCACTAAATGTAAATGTGTTATTAAAACAAAACACGTTTGTATTATAAGCACACGTGGAATTTGTTAATGAATAAAAGCTGGCGTTTTCATTATTGCCTATGGGAACACATTCGCAAGTATCTTTCGTTTGACTTTTAACATTACCAAGCAATAGACAAAAAATAACAAAAAGTAATGTGAGTCTTTTCATTGTATTTTTAATGGAATTTTGCGTTCTTTGTAATTCAACGAAATATGTCTGATTTGAGAAAAAAGTAGTTTGTGTTTTTTTGGTAAATTTAGTTCAGAAAATATCGAAATTTATTAAAAATATTGGTATTGAAAAAAGCTAAAAATAAAGAAAATTTTAAATTTCATGTTTTTGTGGTTTTGAAATCATTTTTTTTAACGTCGATTTTTTTAAAATTATCTAGAGTCAGTCGGATAACGTTGTTCACCTCAGAATATTCTAAATAACGACTAAATCTTCTACAAAATATGTAAAGTGAGGCGAGAAACCCACACCCGGAGAAAAAAACCGCACCCATTTTTTTTTCTTCTTTGAAAAGCTGTTGAATGAAAAAAGGTTCAGTCTCAGTTTTTTGGTTAATTAAGAATGTTCTTATAATTAAAATACAATATAAAAATATTTGAAATTAACACAAAATAACAAATATAAATTATTAGGAAATTAAAAATTAATATATATTATCCTGATGTTTCTAATGAAGTGATAAATAAGCTTTTGAACATATTTTAAGTTTAATTTTAATTTCATTTATTAAATGTTTAAATTAAAAAATATAATATAAGGTTCAGTTCCTAATACATACTTTTAAATATTAATTAGTGATTAGTTTAATATAGTATCTAAACTATAGATTGTTATTCAGATTATTAATTATAAAAATACTAATAAGAAATCAATAATTTATATCCACTTTAAACCCATTTCTAATAGTTAATAAATTGTATTTATCAGCCACTTAAACATAATAAATAACACAAAAAACAAACAAACATTTGTTGCGCGTAATTTGCATTATCTAATCGTTAATTTATATGTAATGTGTTTAAATAAATAAAATTGCCAAACGGTAATGGGGATCCGCAAAAACTCAACACAAACACATCTCTGTTGTTTGTGTTGAGTTTGAATATTTGAACTTGTTTATCTTAATTTTAAGTGGTGGTTTTTAGGTTAAATGGGCTAAAAATGTTTATTTATAAAAAGTTTGACACTGGTTTTCCAAATTAAAATGGGGTTCAAAAATAAAATTAAAAAAGAATCAAAACACAATTCGTATACTAATTTGAAATAGAATAAAATGACTATATGAATACAACTTACTTTATAATCTATCACATTGTATCAATACAACTAACAGAGAATAGTTGTTGAAATATAT